CTACACATTCAATAAGTCCACGATCAATGGTTGAAAAAACACCTGAAAAATTTAAATGAAGTTCTTGAAAGCACTTAAAACCGGCCTAACTCTGTTTCCACGAGGAATCGCCGCTCACATGTTTTAAATGCCGCCTTTATTGAAGAACATGGATGCCGCCCACAGGCAGTCACTCACATGGTAGAAATCTCTGGAACCAAAGGAACTTTATTCTGGAACAACCATCTTATGGATATCAAGGAACCAAGGCACTTTATTCACTGGACTGCATGCATCCTTCTGAATGGGCTGGAAACCGCTCACTCAAGTGCCAGGAAAGCCAGAACTAGAAGGAGGAGAACTAGAAGGGTTGAGCCAGAGCGACGCGAGATACTTATAGCAGAAGTAGGCATGACGTCATCTCACGGCAACCAATAAGCTATCGGCACGAATCGGCTTTCCAGATGACGTAACATCACGTTTCGTTTTTACATCTCAATTAGGTTGAAACAGTCCGTTCTCAATGCAAACAGTGGCAGCAAGAAAAAGAAGTAGAAGTAACTACTATATTACATTAAAATAAGAACTAAACTAAATAAACATTTCAAGAAGGTGAGATGATGCAGTAAAAGGTTTAAAATAAGCTATATTTTCCAACAATGCCGAACAGAAAGCACTTACCAACTGAAATTAAAATGTTAAAGTTGAAAATCCCAAATAAAAGTCAAACTTTTCAGAGTAAAAAATTTCCAAATTTGTTGCGCATATCTTAGGTAGCCCAAAAGCAAATTTTTATGCTGTCAACTAACACATCAAATGAGCTGTGTCATGTAAACAGAGGAAAAGGAGCAGAGAAAATTGAAGTCCTTTGCCCACGTTCTTTCTCAATATATAACACACACATGGGAGAAGTAGATCTGGCAGACCACAAACGTAACTATTATACAGTTGCCAGAAAATCATCCAAATGATGGATGTATGTGTTTTGGTTCGTTCTGGACATCAGCATCACCAACACCTATATAATTCAACTTACTACAAATTATCCCCAACAAAAATGATCAAAAACTTTGTACAATTTCAAGCTGGAACTCATACAAGAATTAGCAAATGTGTATTCACACAGAAAGCGCACTTCAGCATCATTTGAACCCACTCACAGTCATTTTCATAAACGAAGAAAAATTGAAGGACGTAAAAGAACTTGTGTTAGATGTTCGCAGCAAAGAAATAAAACTCCAACAAACAATTCCATCCAAAGCACACGGGAATGCAAAATCTGCAAAGATGTGCCTTTGCAAAGGCTGCTTTGAGGAATAGATTTTCCAATCTTTCTTGCTATATGAAAAAAGGCCCTTTTCAGGGCCAGCTTATAACATAAAAGAAATGCATTTGTCTGCTATCTAAACCTAAAAATATTTAAAGAGAAATCATATGATTTTTGTGTGAAAGTAACAGAAAATGTAAAAGGAAATTAATTTTTCTTATTTCACACATTATTAATATTCCTATTGTAGCATTTTTCTCTTCTGACACCAGTTGTTACGTTATTTTCTTCCTTCATGTTCGTGCGGGTTTCATGTGGATTTGGAGTGAATAACGATGACACTTGATGAAGTATCGAAACACACTTTATTGGCTGGTATTAATCAGGACAGCTCCAAAATCTCATTTACAGTCGTCGAACTGTTATAACACGCTGACACGATCAGCGACACAGCTTTCAGGTTATCAAGCTATCACAGTGGAGACAGCTTCACTGCAAAGCACCAGAGTACAGCTCCCGAGTCTGCTTGGTCGTTCTCGGAACACCACGTTCTCTCGAGACTGTCTACGCTACAATTCGTGATGCACTCGACGACACACAGAGCACAGCTCCTGGCTCTTTGGTTCAGTCGTTCCCGGAGCTTAACACGCTCTCTCGACGATGCACTAACCGCGATACACTAAGAGACTCCTCGATGCACTCGACAACCCACTCGGCACTCGCTGGCCGGCTGTCAACTCAATCGTCTCCGCACAGACTAACTAGATGAGACAGACTCGATACTGACTAACTTTGCTCCAGACGAGGCACTCTGACTCGCCCTCTCGATGAAGCACACTAACTGACTGCGGACCAGCAGAGTTTATATAGCTTTCGGCTTGCGTTCGAGAACATTCTGGGCTAAACCAGTAAGACTTCATTCCAGAAGGTTCTCCAACCGTCCATGATATATGGCCAATTTTATCACCAAATGTCGCAAAATGGGCGATTTCTTGCCAAATGTGGCGACCCTGCCCTCCTTTGCCATTTTATGGCAAGCCAAAAACTGCTTTGCGGGGAAGCCATTACAGCACCTGTACATTTCATATTTCATAACACTATGTTTTACGTGAAGCAAAATAAAAATAATAAGCAGTTTAACTACCCTTTTCTTTATCTCTTTTTTTGTATCCTACACTTGAAATTTCAAGCAAGTATAAGGATTATTTTAGTTCGAATAATTAATTATAAGTATTCCTGCTCATGCATAACTATAATTTTTATGTTAAAAACCATTAAAAATGCCCCTATTAAAGTATATATTTTCTATAGCAGGAGTTTTAAAATGATGATATATGTACAACTAATAGTTATTTCTCAGTATACAAGTAAAACTTTCCTGCTAAGATAATATTAATTCATAAACTATTCATTCAAATCTACACAAATTAATAAAATGCATGTCAGTAAATGCTTATTGTTAATCCTGTAAATGGATGCATATTACATGAAGGGATTTCAGGAATAAGAGAAAAGAGAGATTTGATTTCCTATAGCACTTCTCTTGATATAAATTTCTATTCAGTAGCACTAACTTTCTGAGTGAAAATGTTTTTCTGTTTATTAGCACAAAATTATGGAAATATAAGACATGTCTAATTTTCAGGATGGCTAGCTGATAACTGGTAATATTTAAATTCTGTCAAACCACCATTTATCAACTAAACTATTTTCATGAAAATATTTCTTTTCCTGCACTGACAATAGATAAAAAGGTTCCATACTTTTCCATTTTATATAAGAATAAAAAAAAAAAACTTTACTAAATTCAAATAAAAACAAATCCATGTACATGAATTCTCCTATATACGGGGGTTGTAAATTAAATAGTGGCAACTTAACCTTGAAACTCGCAGAAGGGGGGCAGGCATGCGCAAATAGGATATGGGAGCGGTGAGGTGGCGCTGTTGTCGATGTGTAGAGTGCAAAAAACAGTGATCTGCTTAGAAGGGTAGTTGTTGTGTGTCGTTAAAGTGAGGAGTTTCGTTTCCATCGCTCTAAAGCATGCTTTCAAAAGGTGATCAGCGGTCGTGGCTTAAAATCGAGGTTACCTGTGGCAAAAATGCAACACAATGCTATCGAGGATTAGTGGAAGGCTGTGGCACAAATGCTTTACTGTATAGGATGGTAGCACGATGGGTTCAAGCATTGCGCTCAGGTCAGAATGAGACTGTGGATTTGCAACGCATAGGTCGGCCCTCCCTTCCTCAAGAGCAGATTGACATCCTGAGCGGTCTCCTTACCATGGACTGTCCGAGAATTATCCTTAGAGGTTGGTCCGAGTCATCAAACGGTGTGGTGCATAATGAAGAAATCTCACAACATGAGGAAATGCTTCCCGCTGGGTTTCCCATCGACTAACCGAAGTACAGAAATGGCACTGGTATGCACTGGCTGGCACCCACTTGGAGAGATACCGCAATGAAGGAGACGCATTTCTGCAGCGTATCGTCGAAATTGATGAGACATGGGCACGAGCCTACGAGCCTGAATTAAAGCATGAATCAAATGAATGGCGTCACGAAGGTTCACCACGTCCACAGAAATTTCGACAGGAACCCATTCGAGTGAAGGTTATGCTGATTATGGCATACGACTGGGACAGTGTGATACTTACACATGTTGTACCCGAAGGACAAACTGTCAACGCAGATTACTACTGCCGATTTCTACAGCACCATCTGCGTCTGGCTATGCGGTGCAGACGTCCATGTTTATTGCACAACAATCTCCCTATCATATTGCATGACAACGCTCGTTGCCATGTCGCAAACAATGTCACTCTTCTTTTGCGATGGTCGCAGTGGGAAATCCTGGAACACCCTCCCTACTCACCCGACATGAGTCCTTGTGACTTCGATGTGTTTCCGAAGTTGAAGGAACCCCTCCGAGGTCACCGATTTCATGACGTTTCATCTGTACTTCACGCAGTAAAGCACTTGGTCGCTCACATCAACAATCAACACCTTGCCACTGGTCTACAACGACTTCCCGACATTTGGCAAAAGGTTTATAAGCTTTGCTGGTAATTACATAGAAGGAATGTAATGCAATTGTACTTGTAAGTTCATTAACAATTGATTTATACCTATGTTGCCATTACTTAATTTACATATCTCGTATGTTCGTTTATTATAAGAATCCCTGCACAACCATTTTTAAACAATGGAAAATGTTATTAATCATATAAATATACATTTTTTTATTTAAATTAAAGCTATCACATCTTAATATACCGATCATTTTAAGAAATATAAAGTATTCAAATCATTGCAAAACTGAGGAGAAATACGGAAAGCTATTGATGTTCGCAGGTGCAATCCGGCCCTAATGTGAAACTGCAAACTATGGATGAAACCGCAGAAAAAACCCCAAGAGAGATGCAGTCATTTCACTTAAGTAGGTTATTGTTAATGCTGTAGCTGTCTACTAGGCAGGGGGAAGGAAAACTATTCCAAGACAAATTCATAAGCGCAGGCGTTTTCGATGTTTGATGAAAACAGATCTGTTCGTCTCTCAATGCGAAAGAGTTAACAGCATTTTTGCATACAACATATTGGAATCAGTTTTTTTTTTTTTTTTTTAAGAATGAAAAGAGATAGATGTTTTTAAATAAACTACATAACAAACTTTAATTTCTTTCACAGTTTTGTTCAAGGACGGCAGAACCAAAAAAATAATCATTTGCAAATAATTATAAAGCTATGCTTATCACCTCGAGATGGTTTCTTGTCTTCAAGCTGAAGTATTTGCCGTCTTCCTCCTTTGTGCTTCTTCACCATTGTTTCTAAAATTAGTTTGAAATAAAATTACACTTAGGATTATATATAATTCATAACAGGAAAGATATTGAAACTTTTTATTAGCAATATACTCAGAAAAAATATACCCAATAAAATCAAAAACAACAAATATTTCTTTAAGAATCCTATTTTGGTACTTCGTTATAGTGGTGCACTACCATATTTGGCTATTTTTGATTTGTGCCAAGATCTCAGCTATAATTCCACCAAGCTTGTGAAGCACGACTGTAAAAATAAACTACATAATAATAACAATAATACTCGCATGTCATTTCTTAAGAATGTTTTTAAAAGTCCTTATTTTTATTCTATTATTATTGCATCGCAAGTAACTGTTCCAGAGCTAATCTTTATTTTAGGGTACCCCGTGGTTCTTTTCTGAAAAAAATCGCCAAGAGGTATTGGTTGTTCGCCAAATCTGGAAGCCTGCTGCACGAAATAGGTTTTTTTGGGAACCCTAATGTTAACCCGCCAGCACACGTGCTGGGGTAAAATCCACACCACGTGTAGTCTTTTCTTAGAAAATAAGGGAAGGTCGCACGTGACCTTTCTAGTACTTCATGTACCTTTCAAGATCAAAATTAGGAAGGTGTCGTCCAGAGGAATTTTTCCAGTGCTCTTGGGATTTTGCACTTTCGGGAAAGGAATGTGCAATGGGATTGTAGCTACCCCACGCGTGTACTAACGTTTCACTTCAAGAGAGACATTCATTGAGATGAGTGCATATGAGCAAGAACAGTAACAACTGCAGGTTCTTCTCGCTAGTGTTGAAACTGATAGCGAAATTGAAGATTCCGATTCTGAGTGTGATAACATTTCTGAAAGTGCTCCCGAAACCGATTCTCACTAATATGATGATTCACATGATTTATGGAGCATATCTTCTTTGACATCAGATGAGATTTTTGTGTTTGAAAAGCTGGAACAATTTGAAGTAAAAAATTACCCTAAAAGCATTCAGGCACGGCTGCACAATATAATGACACATTTACCTGGTGTCAAGAAAAGCTTTAGAAATTTGAAAAATCCAACTGAGTGTTTACTGCAAATTTTTGATGAAGAAATAATGGAAGATTTGGTGAAATCAACAAACATTTACCTTTCATTAATAAGAAACAAATACTTTAGAGAACGTGACGCACAAAAGACAAATGTAGCTGAATTGAAGGTGTTGTTTTTCCTATTATATTACGCTGGAGTGCTGAGTGCAGCACTTCTCAAAGGAAAGATTTGTGGTCAGCTGACGGAAGAGGAATAACTGTTTTTCAAATAACAACGTCTATGAACCGATTCCACGTACTGTTGAGGTGTATTAGGTTTGATGACATAAATTTACGAGCGGTGCAAAAGATGACGGCTAGACTTGCACTTATTAGACATGTTTTTGAAATATTTAGCAAAAAACATACTAAAAATATATTCTTTATCTGAATATTGTACTATAGACGAAAAATTAGAACCCTTTCGAGAAAGGTGTCAATTCAGACAATATATAAAAAGTACGCTCCCGAGATATTGAATAAAAACTTTTGCTTTGTGCAATTCTCATACATTTTACGCATACAACCTAGAAATTTATGCAGGTCAGCAGCCTGTCGGACTATATAGACAATCAAATGTGGCATTGGATGTTGTACAAAGACTTATTGCACCCATAAGTGGCACTGAAAGAAGTATAACTATGGACAATTGGTACATGAGCATTTCTTTGGCCAATGAATTATTGAAAAAGCACAAATTGACATATTTTGGGACACTTCGAAAAGATAAGCATGAAATTTCAGAAGAATTTCTGCCAAATAAAACAGGCTTCTGTACTCTTCGCATTTTGGGTTTAGAGGTAAAGAATTAACTCTTACTTCATATGTTCCCAAAAAGAGTAAATCGGTTCTTGCTCTATTATCCATGCATGAGGATAATCAAATCGATCCATTGTCTAAAGAGCAGCTCAAGCTCGAAATGATAATTTTTTGCAACTCTACAAAAGGTGATGTTTATACTGTTGATGAGTTATGTGGAACTTAGTCTGTTTCAAGAAAATGCAGCCGCTGGCCTCTAACAGTATTTTTCGGACTAATAACCATTGTAGGCATAAATGCTTTTATTATTCATCGATCAAATAACGACCAATATGAACTGAATATGAACTGAAGAGCTTTTCTAAAAGATTTAGCATTAGAGCTTTTGCTGCAATTCTATCTCTCTCGAAAGAACTCAAAACTGGAGTAAAAAGGTTGGCAGGAAAAGAAGATGCAGCAGACCTTCACTCTAAGAAATTTTTGTAAAAATATGTTGTTCAAAACGAGATTATTTGAATAATTAAACTCAGGTAGGAGGGGTGGTGGAAAACCTATGTGTTATTTATATTTTTTAATATTCGTATTTAGAATCTATTTTTGATATGAATAATTGTATGACATTACATTGAGTTTTAAGGAAAAAAGCTAGTAAGAGTGTAGACTTTTCATATTCCTCTAGTGCTTTATCAAACCACTCTTTATGATAAACATTTATACTTAAAAAATATGTAAAATGTGATTTTTCTAATATAAGAAATCATATATGTATCTTATATAAGTTAGTAATTTTGCATAAATTTCGATTTTTATGGCTTACTTTAGGCAACCAAAATGTGAAATAACATGAAAATGTTTGAATAACTTTAAAACGAGGAGCCAAAGGGTACCGTACAATAAATTTTTACTCTGTTCCGGTCAACTGCAGCACTTTCACACATCTTAAGCTGTTTGTTACACCATTTCATGTACGTCAATTCCTCTGCCTGAAAATATGTAAATTTAAGAGCAGTGACAAACAACATTTTGAAACTGCTGAACCAGTTTCCAATATGGAGTTCTTTTAGCAATTTTTAACACTGCATCAACAAACAAAGTTTCATGTTGTGACCATTTTCACATACTCATTTGTCAGAAAAAAGGCCTCTTTCTTGAAAAAAAAAATGGCATGGCATGGCATGTACCTTATTACTTGTTAAATTAAAGATTGTTAACATCATATTCATAATATATATATATATATATATATATTTAAATAAGCAATGAAAATTCGCAAACCTCAAAAAATGTATAATATAAGAACGCATGGCAAAAGTAAAAATGCAGGACGGTTCTAGTATATGATTACATGGCAAGGTATAAGAACATGCAGCCAGATTTTGGCAAGATATCTCTGTTGACTGGCAATTCAATCTCCAGGACTGCTATAACAAAGTAGCCATATTTTTAATACATAATTGAAATTTGTAGTTTAAATTCAGAGAAAATATATAAACTGGAAATAAATATTCCTTAAATTATGATAGATGTTCTAGCATTCATTTAGATATATAGCATATACATATATATCTAGACAAGAATGAAGATTTTATGGCTTATTTTGTGCTTTACCGTAAAATGGCTGCCACGGGTAAACTTGGTGGTTGATGGTATAGAACGACGCAGCGGAAGGTGTTTTTTTGAATTGGTTTAGGACAGTAGGAAAGAAACTTTGTTGGATGTAATGCAGCGGAATAGCTTACCTGGAAGAACGATCACATCCGACTGCCGGAAGTCATACAGTTGTCTTTATGACAATGGCTTCATTCACCTCTCAGTAAATCATGTAGTGAAATTTAAGGATCTGAAAACCGAACTCATATCAACACTATATAAGGTATGTGGGGTGTAATAAAAAGAGATTTTCAAAAGAAATGCCACTGACACTCCTAAGGATATTTCTAATTCTTACTTTTGTGAATTTATACGGCAATGGTAGTATGCAAATTCTAGTTTAAATAATTTGAAACAGTTTTTGGATGCTGTTAAGGAATTCTGCGTGTCACACACCGAAGACATGGAAATTTCTAAATAAGGCACGTCGATACTTCCTTTTTGTACTGCACAGAGATTAGATCATGTATATTTCTATTTTTGTTATTTCCTTGTTTTAATTTGACTTAAAATGCAGTTTATTGAGATTCTAATTTTTTTATGTTTTATTGGAAGCCATTTCACTTGAAAGAGCATTGCACCAAAGCAGGAATAGCACCAAAAAAATTGGCAATTTGTGGCAAGGGAGACCCTGAAATATACAGAGTGCGGCAGGGAAACTACCTTATTTTAAAAATGAATGACACATATAGTATAAGCGATATCAGTTTAATTTTTTTTCCATGTTATAGACACTATTGCAAACAACAGTTTTTTTTTTTTATTATTATGGTTTAAAAATAATATAAAGGTGGCATCTGTTCTGGCCAATGCATTGAGATAGTTTGAAGTTTCTTTCCACTTTTACCAGCACATCAACGGGTATGTTGTCGATATTGTTCTTCAGTTGAGCCAAGGTCTTTGGACATTAGAGATTTCAGATAGCGCAACAAAAGGAAATCACACAGGGCTAAATCAGGCGAGCACGCTGGCCACTGACAATCGCCTCATAAGGAGATAAGGCATCCAGGGAAATATTCTCCAAAAAATCATGGTCCAATGATGCCTATTCTGGACAATGCACACCAAACAGTCACACGTTCTGTATGAAGGAGCTGCTCATGAAATTTTCGGGGATTCGTGCCACTCCATTATCGCATGTTTTGCTTAACGATGCAACCGGAAAGGTTAAAATGAGCCTCATTGCTAAAGAACACAAGGGCATCATGATGTGTATTGTCAAGGCTTATCATGAGCTTTGCATGCATTTTTTTCGTGAAAGCAAATCGTGTGGATTAAGTTTTTGTACCCCTGCCAATTCATATGGATGAAAATGCAGTATGTTGAAAAGTACGACTCCACAGAGAATGCGTGCTCCTCTCTCGCCTACTGCATGATCAGTACTAAACCTTCATGACATAAAACGTTAGATACCACTCTTTTCAATGAGCGCCACCCCACCCTTCTCGGATTAAATGTCGCTAGATGGTGCGCGTTTCAAATAAGGAAGTTTCCTTACATAACCTTCATTTTCCCTGAAAGTCTTTTGAGGGCAG